AAGAAAGTATACTATGTTGTTTTTAATTACAATATAATCAAAGAACGTATACTATGTTGTTTTTAATTACAATATAATCAAAGAACGTATACTATGTTGTTTTTAATTACAATATAATCAAAGAACGTATACTGTGTTGTTTTTAATTACAATATAATCAAAGAACGTATACTGTGTTGTCTTCAAATACAATTTATTATTGCCTTACGGTACATAGGAACAGGTTTAATTACGTGAATTTGTCTGTTAGTACTTATAAAAAGCAATGTTACAAAACTAATAGCAAGGGACACTTGTAGGGTTTCTTCCATTATAACTGATATTTCCTTGCACAGAACGCGGAAAGGGTATGTAAAAAATATTAATCGAATCAAGATTGGTTGATTAACAAATGAATAATAAGATGTCTGCAACGTTTCCTCGTATCTCAAATAACAACAACAATATGAATATATTAAATATACATAAATGTATTTAAATAAATAAAATGTTTTCAGCTTATATAACCACTTTTCTGTAATTCATAAAGTTAAACAATAGTGCAACAAAAACCTAGAGCACCAATACTCCCGAAAACACTCGGGTTAGTAGTTTTGTGTTTATTCGATATTTTGATCCTAATGTAACTCCTCAGTATCATGAGTAACACTTCCTAGATCATAAGTGTGTTAGTTAGTAATCTATAGCATGAGAATAATTCTATAACCCACTTTGTGATGTTTCACATTTTGTTTAATAAAAATAAATATTTTAGAAAATAACTCATCCGTTCATCCTTTTCTACCCATTGAATGTAATGAGAAACAATTTTAAACACAATTACTTGTTTACCTTTTTTACCATTAAACATTTACTGACATATGTTTATATGTTAACAATAATTGGTTATTTAATTTAGTTAATAATGGGTTCAATTATATTTCGTGATTTATTTATAGTTTTTCCAAAAAGATCTCACTACGAAAACTACGTTCAACCAATTCAAACACACATGAAAACGTTGCTCAGGATCCAGTCATCTCATCTCCACCATCTGTACAGAACAATGTTGAAGATCCCGTATTTCTAGATTATAACTAACATAGCTAGGGAAACATTAGATTATTTCCAACTAAAGAATGAACGTTTCAAACGAACTGCTGTTTCATTAAAGGTGATTGTACAAGCTCTGAAAACAATTAATATTCAACAAAGGTGTTGAAATGCGAAGAGCCCTTTTTCAGATACAACTTTAGAAAGAGCATTCTTTATAAATATAAAAATTACCTCACAAA